TGATTCCTGATGGTTCCAATGAAATCTACGTGAAAAACTGGTCTAGACTATATATCCAAGTATTTTTCTTACATGGTTTTACGATTTTTTGTTTCCCCAACTTTCATTAAATTCCAAATGGACGGTACTGTAGATGACAGCGGAATCTCCTGTCTATCCCCCGCTTGGACTGCTTCTCCAGCCGTTAAATTCTAGCGATAATACTGTCTAAAATAGACCTCGCGCAAAAACATCCGCCAGGTAGGGACGCGCCACAACGTCAAACGCACGCCCGAAATCTGTCTGCGTTAAATATCGCGGGGAGGAAATAAAATGAAAAGGAGGAATTCCCACTGCCTCAGTGGTAGTTTCCCCCTCTCCAAGTACTGAAGTAGACGCAATGGCTGGAGAGTGACATTAATATATCTTCTTCTTCAACAAATAAAAGATTTCCCACTCAACGTCAACAGTAAGAAAACGAGGGTTACTTTATTTCGCCCAGGTTTTAAAACACAACTACAGTAGATTCATTCCATCGCAACTATGGACACTACAAAAACAAAAGTAACCACGGCTCTCATCTTCTCCGTGGTTTGTGCAAGCAGCAACGGTTTCATCAATATGCCTACCAATGTACCGACGATTCGTTCTGCTGTAGCGCCTTCAATCACCTATCATCACCAGCAGCGACAAACTACTCAGTCTCAAGCATCAAGAGGACCAGGCATTGGGGATTCCATAAAAACAATCTTTGCCTCGTCAGTTTTGGTTGCATCGTTGGTCTTGGGAGCCCCTGCTGGTGCTGAAAATGAGCTGTCGGACAAATATGGAGGGAGAGGCTTCGACAGCTCTGTTGTTGATCAGACATGCTTGGTCGACAAGTGTTCCAATCAAGCAAAAGCATGCTTAGCAGATGACCCCTCTTGTAGAAAAGGGCTCACCTGTACGGCAAAATGTCTCGGTGACAATTCCTGCATTACAGGTTGCATGGCGCGCTATGGCGACAAGAACCTGGACAATTTTCTCAAGTGCACAATAGAGGATAATGAATGCATCAAGATTGCTATTCTTTCAGGAGGCTCAGATCCATATGGAAAAGAGCCCAGGTCTCCTGCGCCAACTGTCAGGGACTTCGACTATGAATCAATGCAAGGGACCTGGTACAAGGTTGTAGGTTTCAATCCAAACTACGACTGCTACCAGTGTCAACGAAATAGCTTTCATGGTGTCGCAAATGAACAGAAGAAAGGCACCCCAAACGATATTTCTTTGCTACAAGTGGGGGTCGAGTTCTCTATGCCGCACTTGATACCTGACGGGTCACCCCTTCCTCCCAAAAACACACGGGAATCCATATTGGTCAAGAATGATGTCACAACTGGAATGAAATCGATTGGATTGAATGAGTATAACACAAATGAAATCATGATTTTCGATAAAGTCACTGAAAATGAGAACAAGTTGATTGTAAGCAAAGGAATGGAAAATGAAGCATCCTTCTCCAGGACAGCCCACTCGGAAGGTGAAATGTTTGGACTGAGTGAGTGTTTGAGATTCTTTACTTTGCTCTTCTTTCTTTTCTGTATCATTGCGTACAAGCGTCACCACAAACTAACTAATGGTTGTTATTCATGATATTTTTTGTCCCCATCACATGATAGAGTTCTGGGAAAACTGGTATGTGATTGGTGAAAACGATTCTGGTTCTTCAGACTTCAAGTTCATATATTACAATGGAAAAACTCGACAGAACACATACGAAGGTGCTTTTGTATACAGCCGGTCAAAGGAGCTTGAACCAGAATCGATGGCAAAAGTTTATTCAATCGCAAAGAAAGCAGGGATGGATCCTGAAAAGTTTTGTAGAATCCAAAATGGATGCTTCAATGACGATAATTCTCTGGAACCGCGAGTAGCCCCCCCACCACCAGAATCAATACCGTTCCGTGGAATCATGGCAAGCACCAAAGTGTCTGAATTGCTTGGAGTAGAGGCTGTTTCCGCAAGAGATTACACTGGTATTCCTGGAAGTGTTGCAGAAGATCTTCAACCGAAAGCTAAGTCACCAAGTAGGCCCTGGTGGTACGAGGTTGGGGATTATCTCGAGAACCCTCGCAGGCACTTTGATTATATGAACAGTATGAGACAAAACATGGATTGGCCCAAAGAAGTGCAAGAGTGGAATCAGTGATTCCATTGGTACCACCAATAACTTTTCTGAACCTTTGTCTCGAGCCAAGATGCCGGGGCAAATGTCATCGTACGTAATGTGACTGACTGGACTGCCGATTCCCGAGCAGAGGTATTAGAGTGATCGGAGGCCAACGACCATCGCTGATGGTCAGCCCAAGATCAATCATCCATCATCTACTCACAGCTGCTTCAGACCCCCGTAAATGCACCCCAATAGCAATATCAATCACCATGTCCAACAGTAGCTACATCAATGCACTTCTAGTTCTCTGGAGCATATCTATAGCATGATAAGTGGAAGCCCGCCTGATAAAACTTGTCGTTGACTCATCCCTTCGCAGTGCTGTAGCTACCTGACCTTAACAGCCAAATCTTCCACTGGCAATCGCATGCATTAGATAGCATTGAATCGATTAATATTTCAGGAACGACCAGGAACGCGGGTCGTGGTAGTCGGCTGGCCGCCATTTGATGGTATCAACAAGGAGTCCTCCTACCGGTACTTGTACAGTACCGATAGTGACAACGACAAAAACGTTTGGTGGCGTTTGCCGTTTTAATCGTGGAAAATGTGTTTCTTCTCCCTGCGAAAGAGTTGCCATTTTCATTGTTTTAAAAAAGAAATCCTCCTGATTCCTGAGTACCGGTACAAGAGTGAGATAGCACTTCCTTTCTTTCTGGAACACTCCGCAGATCGATGACTTTTGAATTCCTTGTGGTTCCTTCTCGCGAAATAACTAATAAACGAAGAAGACATTTCTCATATATGTTGTCGTACATAAATAGTTGAGAACCAAAAGGTAACCCAACCTTTACAGAAGAGTTAAAGAGAGAATTATAGATGTCTGTAGAAAGGCACTTGAGAGTTCTTACGTGGACCTGATGACTAAGGTCTCGTTCTGTACTCAACCCAAGGAGCTTCTAGAGTCCCAATACCTTGGGCCTATTCTTTGGGCCGTTTATTTCTTCCCCTCTATGATCAAAGCTTGTCGCATAATCATATCATAATCATATCTTTTCATTTCATATCAAAGTGTAGTCACAAAGGCACCCTTACATCCATAGTTCATACGAGAGGTGGTTCTTGACGCAACGTGCGATTCAAACTCATCGCATGCCAGACTGGACAAAACGGCACAAGAAGCCGTAGATTCAGTCTCTCAAAGACTTGAGGACTACTGCAGATTTCAACAACTTTGTTAGTGAGCGCACAGGTAATTTGATACGAACCTTGAATCATTGGATCCAATTTACTTGGATTGATTTTCTTGTCAGAAACTTCTCCAGCAACTGATGTTGGAACCAGCGCTGCGACCGCTCCTTCTTTTGTCCAAGCTTCTTGCGTTGAGGAAAGACCGCTTGTGTTGGGATATGACGAAATATGAGTTTTTACGTTCCAAAAGAAACTATTCAAGTACAAGGTTTTCGACACGCACGATCGGACTTTGATCGTGACATCGGGATTCGACGCAGGTCTGCCGGACGCAAGTCTGTCAGACAATCTGTATCCACTCAAAAAGGGAAAGACCCTATAGAAGTGGAATATTGAGGTTGTGTACGATGCAGTAGGGAATAATGCAAAATATCCCAAAGTACTGCATTCAACACAGAATCCTCGTAGAAGTCGAATCAAGTTCTGTAAACAAGGGATTTTCCAAGGGGAAAATTGCTGAACTCACTTTTATGATTGAATCATCAATTCAAGCAAAACATCAATCAAATAGGAACAATTTCACTCAAAGTATACCTAGACACAGGAGAACTATTGTTGTGAAAGTGTTGTACAGTTGATTACAAATTTAGATTGCAGAGAGTTTGTTCTAAGCGCTAAAGGCACTCACGATAGAGCACATTTTGCTTTATTCTAACATTCAATCACAAAAGGCAACAAAACAAATTTACGTCAAGAACAGCACTGCCTTATCTACAAAGGAGTGAGTGATTCGTTGA